GCGATCAAAAAAGAGGGCATCGGCGCCGCCGAGGCGATCGAAGAACGCATCTCGAAGGCGATGGGTAGCCTCATCGAGCACGACAAGGGTTTGCAAAAAGCCCCGACCGATCACGACAAGGAACAAACCGAACTCTCCGGCCAACTGAAACTCAAACGCGACGGTGAAAAGGACACGATCGTCGGCGCCATTGGTTCGCACCTTCTTGAAAACCTCTTGGGCCGCGTCGGCGAAAAAGCGAGCGACCTCACGAAGGATGTCGCCGACAAGATCGAAAAGGACGGCGTCCTCACCAGCGGCAAGAACCTGCAGGACGACAAGAGCTGGAGCGACATCGCGCTCGGCCTCGCCGGTATCGTCTTAAGCAGCGAGACCAGCGCCGAAGAAAAGATTTCGCAGCTTTTGGGCGAAGGCGTGGGCCTCGTCAAAAACGCGGTCACGCAGGCACTGAGCCCGGCCTCGGAAAAAGCCGAAGCCACCAAGCTGATCGGCAGCAACGAAAGCAAAACCACCGACCGCACCTCGACCGGCAACGGCAACCAGACGAACGCGCGAGAGGCGTTCATCAACAACCGCACGAGCACGAGCTCGAGCCGCGCGGGATCTGCAAGCGGTCCTGTCGGCGAGATCATCAACAACCTCACCACCGCCTTCGGCGTGTCGGGTTTCGGTGACAAGCGAAGGCCTGCCATCGCGGCCCTCAAGTCATCCGCCGTCGTCGCCCGTAATGCCGCGCGTGCCGAAAAGCGTGAGCCCTCGATTATCGACCTCGCACGGGCTCTGGCCGGCAAAGTCGTCGAGCAAGGCGGCGAAAAAGCCGCAAGTGCCGCGGCGATGTTGAAAGTTTTGGAAACCGTCGACCCGAGTGTCGTCGGTGAAGGTGACATCAGCGCCGCAGGACAGATTGCGTTCGACTTACTCGAAGGCATCGTCGGCAAAACCGCCGACCGTTCGGGCGCTCAAGAACTCGCAGGGGCGTTGCTCAACACGATCGAAGGTGTCTCGTTTGAAGGCATCGACCGCAGCAAAGTGACCGGACCGCTGCCGCTGCTGCAGTTTCTGGTTAAGGGCGACGCCCAGGCGTCGGCCGAGAAGTTCGCCGATGAATGGCTGAAGACGCAAAGCGACGAACTGAAAGACCAGTTCCCGGACCTTCGTAACGAATTGATCGACGCGATCAAAGGCGTCTTCGGCTCCGACGGTCCGCAAGACAACTTTCAAATCCTTTCGGGCGCCATCGACTTTCTTGCCTCGCACGGCGTGCGGTCCTCCGGCTTGGAAACCAGCATCAAACAGCTGGGCGACCAGCTCGTTCGCATTGGCCAGCAAGAAGAAGCAGCCACCGGCAAAGCCGACGCCCTCCATACGACGATCAACAACCTGAACAAGGACATTGAGGGCCTGCAGAAAACGCGAACGTTGGAGCCCAGCCAGACCGCCGAAGCCGACAAGATGATCGCCGGCAAAGAGGCGAAGATGGAAGAGGCCGGCGCCGAACTCAAAATCATCTCCAAGGATATTGAGGGCCTGAAAGAAGAACGCGGCCAGCTGGGACAACTGCTGGACGCAACGGTGATCCACGCGCTCGAGTTGGTACCGACCGCCATGATCGACCCGAAACTAGCGAAAGAGGCGTTGTCCCAAGCGGCCGGCAATTCAGCCGAACGTCTTAAGGAAGCCAACAGCGTGGACGGCAAGGATGGCGGCGGTGGTTCCAAGCCCCCGGGCGCGGACGGGCGCGACCACGAACACCAAGATCCGAAGTACAGCAAACTGCTCAAAGATCGCGCCCGCGTTTGTGGCGAGATCCTCGACGACCCGGCGCTGAACGTCGTCGATAAGATTCTGCTCTTCCTCTACATGTTCGCGCGTTACTCCGATGAAGAGCAGTCCATGCTCCTCAAGGACTTCGCCGACGCGAAGAACCAGGAGACGGGTTGGCAGCAACGTCAGCAAGACGTCGCGAACCGTCGTTTGGGTCACGAAGGCAAGATGGAGACGACGCAAAAGCAGATCGATGATCTGCAAGCGCAAGCCACCAATCGTCGGCAGACCATTCTCGACGGCGGCGGCACGGAGGCCGACGTCGACAACGACGCCGAGATCGCGCAGACGCGCGGCAACATCGGTGAACTGACTGCGACGTACAACGAGGCAGCCAAATGTCGCGGTGAGTGCATGAAAGAGGAGTTGACGATCGACTCCGAGCGTCCGGCGTTTGACACCGACGTTCTCGAATCACGTATTCGTCGCTCACGTGACCTGCGCAGTCAGATGCTGCAGCTCGCCAACGACATTGCCGAAGAAGAGAAACGCGTACTCGAGCGCATCAACCGAATGTAGTCATGGTGAAAGGCGTTTCCCCAAAGAAGGCGGCTGTGCCGCCGGATTGTGCAGTCGAAGAGACCGGCGGAAAGAAAACCGCCAAGAGCTCCGAGGTCAAAGGCGCGGGCGAAGTCCAAGACGCGGGCGATGCCAAGGCCACCAGCAAAACCAAAAAAGTCGCCGACAAGCCTCTTGTCGACGAGGTCACGGGCTACGAGCTTTCCGACAAACCTGCGGAGAAACCGATGACAACTTCGGTTGCAGGCGGGACGCGCGCTTTAGAGATGGCCATCAAGTCGGGTCGCTATGATGGCCCGGACGGACTGAAGAAACTACAGGCCGAAATTGGTGCCGACGGCGGCGGCGATCTGCTCAAGAAGATGATCGGCGGCGGCGGCCCTGTGATGATGGACGGTGACGGCGACGGCCGTATCGATGACGAGCAGGATCCCAAAGTTCGTGCCTTTCTTGAGCGCAACTTCGGTGACTTCGAACGAAGCCGCGACCTCGCAACGGCCGGCCAGGACTCACTCGCCAAGGCACTTGAGATCGCCCGCCAACGTCGCGGTGACCAGGGCACCATTGCGCATTCCAAACGACGGACCGCTAAGAATCAGCAGAATAAGGACCGTCAGTTCTTCGAACGCGAATTCAACAACCGCTTCATCTACGACCAACTCGCCGACAACGCGGTCGAAGACAGGTCCGCCGAAGAAAGCCTCTACGCGGATGTCGATTTGGATGAGGAAGAATATGCTGCCATGGAAGCCGAGCGCTTGGCCGGTGAAGAGCGGGCGGAACGAGACGAGATGGACCGCGAAATCGCGCGCCGCTCACGCTCGCGCCACACGTAAGCTACGTACGGCTGAGCAACCTAACAATCTGAACTTCGACCTCAGGCTTAACGCCGGAGTGAGCGCTCATCTGCTTTCGCAACTCTGATTGACATCGTTTCGTGAGATGCGCGTCATCGTCAAACGCATAGGAGCCGAGCGCATGCGCCATGTCTTGGCCCATTGTTTTTAGCGCGATGTCCGAAACGGATTTGCCGCGCGTCGTGATCACGGGCGCTGTCTCTAGGCGGCCGGCAGAATCCAGAACAACACTGCACACCGCGAGGCCGTAACGTCCGATGCGGTTGCGATCGGAGATGTCGTTCCAAGCGAGTTCGCGGCCGCTTTGGTCCAATGGACGGCGAGACACCTCAAAGTCGGGGCCTCGCGTCACGCGGCCGCCCTCAAGGACGACGCTGTTGCCGTCCATGAGCACGAGCGACTCGATCCCTTGATCCCGCGCGGTGCGCGCATGGGCTTCGAGCATGGTGCGATCACCATGGAGCGGAACAAAGTGGCGCGGCTTGAGCCACGACAGCAACTCAACCTGCTCTTCTCGATGCGCGTGACCTGAGCAATGCACCGGCATCATGCGATCGGTAATCACCTTAATCTCGCGCTCAGCGAGGAGATTCAAAAGACGACGAAGCTGCGGGCCGTTTCCCGGAATGACACGTGAGCTGAGCACAACCAGATCGCCGGAGCGGGCCTCAAATGACTTGTCTTTGGCGTGAGCGACTTTATGCAATCCGCCCTGCCATTCACCTTGGCTGCCGGTGCATAAAACAACAACACGTTCGCGCGGTGCACTCTTAAGGTACTCGGGCGCGAGGAGAAGACCGGGGTCCGGCTGGATGATTCCGCGCGCCGCCGCCATCTTCCAGGTCCTCTCCAATGAGCGACCTAAGATTGCGATCCGGCGACCATGTCTTGTTGCCGCCCGAATTGCACTTCGGATTCGATGAAGATGCGAGGCGAACAAGGTCATAAAGACCCGACCCGAGGCGCCTTCAAGTACGTCTTCTAAAGTCTCCGCAACACGCGTTTCAGAGATCGTGCGACCGTCACGTTCGCTGTTGGTGGAGTCGGCGAGTAAGAGATCGACGCCCTCTTTCCCCAGCTCAACCATCCGCGTCTCATCGGTGGGGTCACCGTGCACCGGGTGTTTGTCGATCTTGAAATCGCCGGAATGCACGATGCGTCCGGCCGGCGTGTCGATCACGAGCGCGGCGCAATCAGGAAGCGAGTGCGTGACCCGGACCCACTCCACATCGAAGGGTCCGATCTTTACGCGCTGACCAAACTCCACTTCGGTGAAGCGACCACGCTGGCGTTTTGCTTCGCCGCTGGGCGCGCGCTCCAAGCGAGAACGCGCGAAGTCGAGTGTTACCGCGGTGCCCAAGACCGGTACGTCGTGTTTGGCGAGCAAACTTGGCAAGCCACCGATGTGGTCCTCGTGGCCGTGGGTTAAGACCAAACCAACAAGTCGTTTGCCCTGGAGAGCTTCGAGACCGGGCACGGCTTTTTCGACACCCGGCGCTTGCGGGACGCTCAACAAAGCGCCGCAGTCGACAAGCAAGGCATCTTGCCCATGGATAAACAGCGTCGCGTTGAGACCGATCTCGCCGCAACCACCGAGCGGCACAACAACCGTGCTGTTGTCGGCGATGTCAGTCACCGCGGCGATTTTTGAGCCATTCGACAAAACGAGGAATCCCGACGGCGACCGGAGTTCGCGGGTTGTACCCGAGTTCCTCTTTGGCGCGACTCACGTCGGCGAATGTGCGCGGCACATCACCGGGTTGATCGGGAACCTGGTCGATGATCGCTTTTTTGCCGCACGCGTCTTCGATCTGCGCGATCAGTTCGGCGAGGGTCGTGGTTTCGGAGCCGCCGAGATTGTAAATGCGATAGCCGTCAACCGTAGTTGCGCGGTCGATGGATGCAATCACGCCTTCAACAATGTCGTCGATGTATGTGTAGTCACGGCTGGAGCTACCGTCGCCGTGCATTCGAATCGTCACGCCGTCTAAGATCCGCTGCGCGAACAAATGAATCGCCATCTCCGGTCGCTGCCTCGGCCCGTAGACCGTGAAGAAGCGCAGCCCGACGAAGTTCAGGCCAAAGAGGTGACTGTACGTGTAACCGAGCAGTTCGCCCGCCTTCTTCGTGGCGGCGTACGGACTGATCGGATCATCGACGCGGTCTTCTTCGGAAAACGGGACGGTGTCGCGCGCCCCATACACTGATGAACTCGAGGCGAAGACAAAAGGCTTCACATCGTGCTGGCGCGCCAGCTCGAGCAAACGAACCGTGCCTTCGAGATTGTTGCGCTGGTAGACCATCGGCTTCGCGATCGAGGGCCTCACACCGGCCCATGCCGCCAGGTGAACCACCACGTCGGGCCGTGTCTTTTCGTCGGCAAACAGCGCATCCAGCGCGGCGCCATCCACCAGGTCAGCGCGGACGAGCTTGAAACTCCCATCGGTCTTCGAGGCCGCCGCCTCGACCTCGCGCACGTTCGCTTCCTTGATCGAGGGGTCGTAGAAGTCGTTGAAGTTATCAACGCCGATCACCTCATTGCCGCGAGCCAAGAGGACTTCAGCCACCGATGAACCGATGAATCCCGCAGCCCCTGTAAG